TTTCGAACATTACAAACCATTTAACTTCAGTGAATTCATATCGGACATTAGAACTTTTACGAAAACATTACGTAACGTCATCGGTGGAAAAAACATGGGCGTGTGATCAGTGAAGACAACAGAGCTAGCTAGCTCCCTATTAAGTGGATTGTACTTACGACAACACGAAATTAATTCGCTCATCGTGAACCCTCGATAAAATATCAAGGAAGTTCCAGACTAGAAAGAAAATTTTTTATTGCTTGTAAGTTTGTAAAACTTTTGTATATAAATCATTATTTGTAATGACTGTTATTGTAAATTGTATTATTGGTTGTATAATAAAATATATTCGTATTAAAAAGAAAACTGTGTGTATCAATCTTGTTGGCAAATATCATAAATTGGATACATATTGGCATTTATTTAACCACTAAATCTAAATTACAATTTAACTCAGTTTTAAGCTATTTGAAATTGTAATACGTAACAGACTAAAGCAATAATACTTGTTCAATTAATGTCATGAAGTAATCGCTGACATTAAGGTGTTAACAATAACTCAAAGTAACAGACAAGTGTTGGTTTTGTTTATATAAAATTGTTACAAACAACCTCTGGGAATATTAAGTAAAACATTTAAAGTAGACGTTGTCTTTTAGGTGCTATAGAAATATTCAACTAAGGTTAAAAAGCAGCCGCTGGCTTACAGTTACTATAAGAATATTTAATCTAAGTTACAAAGCAAACACGCCTTTTAGTTGCTATAAAAGTATTAACTCAAAGTCACAAGTCAATTGTTGCTTTATTTTCTATAAAAACATTAAACCAAAGTTGTAAAGTTGTTTGTTGTTAAGCACTAAGATAAACAATGGGCTATCTGTGCTCTGCCCACAGCGAATATCGAAACTCCCTTTTTAGCGTTATAAGCCTTCAGGCATACTGCTGAGCCGCGAGGGGGAGTTATAAAGCAAAAATGCTAGCTTTCAATTGCTATAAAATATGAAATCAAAGTTTCAAACCAGCCGCTGCTTTATTTGCAATAAAAATATTAAATCAAAGTTACAGAGCAAAGCTGTATATTTGCTATAAAGATATTAAATCAACGTTACAGAGAAAAGCTTCCATTGAAATGACATAAAATAATATTACAAGGTTATAAAGCATCATCTTCCAGTTAGTTAATATAAAAGTAACAAATCGAAGTTACAAACGAACCATTTGTTCTAGGTTTACTATCCAATAATGTAACCGAAGTTACAAACGAACCATTTGTTCTAGGTTTACTATCCAATAATGTAACCGAAGTTACAAAGGAACCGCTTCTTTTACGTTTACTAGGAAACCGAAGTTACAAAGGAACCGCTTGTTCTAGCTTTACTATGAAACCGAAGTTACAAAGGAACCGCTTGCTCTAGGTTTACTATGAAATCTAAGTTACAAAGGAACCGCTTGTTCTAGGTTTACTCTCCTGAAGAATAATGAAACCGAAGTTACAAAGGAACTTTTATAAAACCTTTTTAAGTAGGTAAGTGTTTAACAAATAGACATAATTAATAGCAATTAGAGCCAACAGTTAGATCCTTTGTAACTTCGATTTCATTATTGGATAGTAAACCTAGAACAAGCTGTTCCTTTGTAACTTCGGTTTCATTATTGGATAATAAACCTAGAACAAGCTGTTCCTTTATAACTTCGGTTTCATAGTAAACCTAGAACAAGTGGTTCCTTTGTAACTTCGGTTTCATCATTGGAGAGTAAACCTAGAACAAGCTGTTCCTTTATAACTTCGGTTTCATTATTGGATAGTAAACCTAGAACAAGCTGTTCCTTTATAACTTCGGTTTCATTATTGGATAGTAAACCTGAAAAAAAAACTAATCGCAAAGAACATGTCAAGTGCGTTCGTTACACTTTTAAGTGTAATTTTAGAAAGTGCATAATTATGTTTTTCAACAGGCATAACGATATGTCCTATACAAAGTTTCCTACTTACTCTCTTACAATGCATTTGTCTCGTTAAATTGGGTTTCTGAAGTTCACTAGCTATCGGATCTAAACATCTTTTAATAATCTTTATTTGACAAGAGTTAGTGTGTCTGTATCCGCTTTGAACTCAAACCACTATACCGAATGATACCAATGAATAAATCCCCCGGGAGTGACACTGGGGGAGGGGGGGTGTCGGATATGACTTCCCATATGTCACTCCTGGGGTTCTATGTCTTCTCCGTTCTTTGAACAGGTACATCAGCTAGTTTAACTAATTCGTGCCGTTTAAAAAGAAAGTTTGAGTGGAGGATTATAATTCGTCAATTTATTCGATAATTGTTTCGAAAAGGCGATGAAGATTCGTTGTAGCAGTTCAAATCTTTACAACCACACAAAACTCTTCACGTGAATAAATAATACATTTGTAAAAAAATGAATTTTCTCTTTATGTTGTTCCAGTTTAGAGTAAAAACGCGAATTTTTGTTCCGTTTTACTCTAAACCTATACGGGAAACCTCTCTCACACACAAACAATACCTTACAGCCGACAATTACGTAAAAATATATTCCAGTTGAGACTAAAAACGCAAATTTTGTTCTGTTAAATGTCACACCTGTGCAGGATACTTATCTCTCACGCACAAACAATACTTTACAACTGAAAATTAAATAAATAAAATTATATTTTTGTAGCTATTACAGAAATTTATTATATACAAATGTTTATTAAAAAACAGTTCATTTAAATTTATTTACCTCCCTTGTAGATGAATAATTTCATAGCTTTATTTGAAAATAACTTGAAAATTAGTTAAATATAGCTTTAAAAGCCCTAATTATACCTACTTATTTAAAACGGAAACAATATACTGACCTACTCGCACTTAGTATAACCTAAACCCTAAATCTATCTAAACATACGTAAAGAATGGAATAATATATTACTGAACTTACCTTCACGGCCTAAACCCTAATTTTGAACTTACCTTCACGGCCTAAATCCAATTTTGAACTTACCTTCACGGCCTAAATCCTAATTTTGAACTTACCTTCACAGCCTAAACCATACTTTTGAACTTACTTTCACAGCCTAAACCATAATTTTGAACTTACCTTCACAGCTTAAACCCTAATTCTAACTAAACCTAGATCGAACGGGACCAATTTTCTGAGCTATTCACCTCAACAAAATCTTAATCCTAACCTTAAATCTACCTACATATAGGTAAAACGCGGAAAAAATATATCGATCCCATCATCTTAAATGATCATCTATTGAAAACTGAACAAATATCATTGATTTTTCCACCCATAACCTTGATCATACATGAACCTACGTAGAAATAAATATACCTCCAACACCAAATGGCGAGTAAAGGTTCTAGCAATAAAGTTTTAGAGATGAAAAGGTCTATTACGAAATAAATACTTCAAATTGTTTAGTGTTCCCTATAACATACTGAAAGCTGTCTACACAGTGCTCTAGACATATGTTGTTATAAAAAAAACGGTTAGTAACAGTGGTAGGTATATGTAGTTTTGTTCACAGACATAATAACTGATTTAGTACTTGCTTCAAGGCGGTTCCGAGTATTTTTGGAAGGTTTGGTTTGAATCTAGCGCAAAGCTACACAAGGGCTATCTGCGCTAGCCGTCCCTAATTTGGCAGTGTAAGACTAGAAGGAAGTCGTCACCACCCACCGCCAAATCTTGGGCTACTCTTTAACAACGAATAGTATGATTAACCGTCACATTATAAAACCCCACGGCTGAAAGAGCAAGCATGTTTGGTGTGACGGGGATTCGAACCCGCGACCCTCAGATTGAGAGACAAGCGCCATTACCATCTGGCCATGACGGGCCTCTTTTCGGAAGACAAATAACAATAAATCGATAATACGATTGACAGTATAAATGGTGAGTATCTGCTCATCTACTCTTTAGTAACTATATATAGAAACAACTACATAACAACAATAATATATTAACAGTATTACAACCATTAGTAAAACTATGAGTAGAATATAAAATTTTCATACTTCATAAACCGGCATACAGATGGCGTCGATGAAGCCGACCTGCATAAGCGGAAGTTGGTCTTTCTTTTCTCTATCCATCATATCCTATAAAAAGTAAAAAAGAAATATTTCATATTACAAATAACGTGTATTTGGCAACTCCTAGAAAATGCTTAGAATGGTAGTAACTCCGATGACGGATTTCTATCGAGAGTCCTGATATTTCATCAACAGAAACGGACAGTTTACATAATTATTCAACAATCATGCGAATTAAGACCTATTGTTTTTCTACTTTAAAGATGTGAATTAAGTAGTGTTAATAAAAACAATACAACTATAACCGAGAAGTATTAATTACTAAGGCTGTAATGAAGGGTGAATTTTCACCTGCGAATGCTCGAATTGCATTATCGAAAGAAGGTTCGAGCTTCCGGTAGTACTAATTTACATAATTTACTGATGACGTCACCATAACTCTTATATGGATTGTATATATAAATGAAATACAACATTCACATGTAAATTTAAAAACATTACATGAAACAGCAATCATGTTTTTAATATTTAAACAAGTAGCATTTTTTTAAGTATATAGATAAGTAGGGATCTATATATATATATGTAACCTAGCTAGCTATGGTAATATAAAGAATGTTCTCTCTATTTTGGCAAATGACTGTAATTATGTTAGTCTTGGCCAAAGTAGGGATGTTTTTTCTATTTTAAGTAACTCAGTTTTAATGGTTGGAAACGGCTTGAATGGGTAATGAAGAAAAACTGATGACAAAACCTTGTCGAAACGTTGTACATTTGCTGTTATGTTAAACTTATATTAACTTTTTTCTTCATTACACATTCAAGCCGTCTCCAACCATTATTAGTCTCAAAGTGGTTTCCTCGTCATCGAATTTGAACTCAGTTTTAGTAGTTTTGACTTTTTCGTTTCAGTACTTTTTGTAGCATTAAAACTTTCTATATTACTATAGCTAGCTAGGTTACGTATATATCCATACTTACTTGTCTTTATAAAAAAAATTAAATTCTAGTATACTTGCTTGTTTCCTTTTTATTAACTATATTTTTGTGCGCCAGCAAAAGACCAAGCGAGTAACACGCGTATACCAGATTCGATTTTGTTACTCATCAGGATCTCCATCAACCTACCCTCCAATCTAATTATATGCCAAAGCAGCGCATTGTATATATACTAGCATCCTTTTTGGCACCAGAAAGGAATCATTGGGACCCCAGACGGAAGAGTTCTGTGAAAGAATTAGAGCGTTACGATTCATTCTTTTTTTTTTTTCTGTTACGCTTGTCTGGAAAAGTCATTTACTTATTTAGATGGAAGTTTGTTGAAATAGTGAAATTTTGTAAGTACAATAAAACTATAGTTTTGCTCAGCCAACACTGTGAAATAGTCATTGTTAATATTCAGACATGTGTTTTTTAATGCAACAACTTTTGTTAAAGTAATGGGCATTATACAAATCAAAAAATATAATTCTTCTTGTCAGTGACATTTAATCTGTGACTGCTATTCAAACATTGTCAATCAGTTTCTGTTAACATGAAAAAAAACTAACACAATTTGAAGACCACTGAACGAACCTTCAACTCTTTAAAACTATTATCCAATTCCTGGCTAGCGAACGAAACTTCGAACACATCCCTATTAATTACAATTCTTACCTTTTACAATACGTATTGAACCAGAGTGTTCTGCGTTAATAAAATGTTCTCAATTTTCACCGAAACAAGAAGTCGGTTAGTTAGATTTTAGTACAAAATGTTGAATGAATTCAGTTATTTAAGGCCCTGAATATAGATCAGAGACGAAGTAAACAAAGACTACTGTCCGAACTGTCCATAACTCCTCAAGATTAGTATAACCTGTTTACATAATATATTTTTGAAAATACCAGTGATAACTAATAACATTACAGTAGTTAGAAGAACTGTTATAGTCTTAATGTATTACACGACGAACCATTTCCCAAGACAAAAGATTTTCATCTAGGCCTACGAAATATGCAAACCACATGTTACCTTCGAAATTCTTTTGGTAAAAATTAAGTATTTTAATTACTTTTGTTCGTACGTTTTTTGTACAATTTGACTAAAAAAACTATCAGTCGTTTCCTAAGATTTTCAAAATGCCAAAAACAAATACATAGGAAAATGAATGACGTTTACTGAAGTCTACGGTTTCAGAACGATGGGTGTAAGTAACAGCCAGTGTTTGTTTAGAATTAGTTCGAAACTAAAATACTCTTAATTATTAAGACTTAAACCACTAGGGTTAGCTACCCTTCTAATCTCTATGCAATGAGTAGTAACTTTTGTTTCCATGGTTGATTCCTAATACTTATGGCATGGTCAGGGCGCTCGACTTGTAATCTGAGGGTCGCAGGTTCGAATCCCCGTCCCACCAAACATGCTCGCTCTTTCAGCCGTGGAGGCGTTATAATGTGACGGTCAATCCCACTATTCGTTGATAAAAGAGTAGCCTAAGAGTTGGCGGTGGATGGTGATGACTATCTGCTTTCCCGCTAGTCTTTCACTACTAAATTAGGGACGGCTAGCGCAGATAGCCGTCGTGTAGCTTTGCGCGAAATTCAAATAAAACCTAATCCTCAGAGAGCCCATAGATTCTCTTTATGAATGACAGAAGTAAAGTAAATAAATCATGGCTACCTTGAAGAAATGTTTGGAGTTCACATTACAATTTATATATAACTTGAACAAGGCGTGGCATATGTGGCTGGGCATGCTGGAGTTCATATTACAATTTACATATAACTTGAATAGGGCGTGGCATATATGGCTGGGCATGTCTAGTTGTGAATCCGAGGGTCCTATTGCTGCAGAATCGTTCTCTGCACTTTGGGGCCGTGGGTGAGTTACAAGAGTGACGTTCGAATCTCACTTTTCAACTAGAGTAATCAAAGAGTTGGCGATAGGTCTGTTGAATAGTTTCTTTCCCTCTCGTCCATCTTTTAAAAATTAGGGACGGCTAGTAAGGATAGCCATTGTCCAGCTTTAAATATCCGAAGCAAACAAACAATTATATAATATTTAATTTTATTTGTTAATAAATCGACAAAAAAAGCATCACAAACTGCTTTTAGTTCTATCGTATGAAAGGATTAAACGTCAATTAACTTTCCAGCTTTGAAAATCGATATAAACTTTCAAATCCGTGAATGGCTAAGTATCCTATCAAAAGTTGTACTCTGCTGCATTGTAATAATTGTTCAGTAAATATTCAATATGCACATAGATACAGTGAGAAGGATACTCTGTTACCTACTGCGGAACGTTAAATAAACGACAGAGTAGATGGTAAAAATATTTTGATCGAAACAGCAGACGCAAACTGCTCTGCGGGAAGTTATTAAGGAATATTAAGTAAATCAACAGAAAGGAAGCTGTTTATTAAGTACTTACTAAGGAACATTACGTAAACCGACGGGGAGAAAACTGCTTATTAACTAATCACTAAAGGTGTGGCAATACGATACGAGTATCGTATCGTGAAGCCGTGGTACGATTGTATCGATACGTCGTCCGATACGATTTATGTATCTTCACGAACTATGGCAAGCTTTCAGTAAACATTACAAGTCTTTTGTACAGAAAACATCAGAATTTCTAATAAAGTATTTTTGCTAAAAATTAATGATTCAATAAAGGAAGATGAATATTATGTATTACATATTGTCTTCATTTCTTTTATCATAAACATTTCATGCAAAGTAATATAATAAATTAACAATAACAAAGTAGATAGACAGATATTAACTTTTTTTATATTTTACTTCTCTTGCCAGCTGCCATTTAGTTGATCAAACCTGAGAATTTTAAAAACCACTGTAAAGTGTGAAGTACTTAAATAAGACAATGTTAGTTATATAAATAATAAATTACAGACAAAACTGCCAAATTTTGTAACAAACCGTTGGTAAAACTTTTGTATCTAGATAAGTATCGTGTCAACTATTATGATGAGATACACACCCCTACCAATCACTAAGGCATATTACGAAAACCAAGAGAATAAAGAGGAAACTATTTATCGAGTTAAGAAACATTATGAAGACCAACAAAGAAGTAACTGTTTATTAACTACTCATTAAGGAACATTACGTAAGGAGACAGAAGAGAAACGGTTTATCAAGTACTCACTAAGGAACAATGAGCAAGGCTATACAGTCGAAGTAAACATTCCGTGAATTTTCACTATATAGGAATCAACGTAAACCAACAAAATACGGAAAAAACCAACACATTAAACAACTAGAGAGGCACTCAGTAGAGCGCACACCCCCGTCATGCAGCGTTGATCATACTTGGCCCTCGAAAAATACGAAAATATGTCAGTTTGGCAGGACAATGAGGAATAATATTCTACATATTTCCACCAAGTTTCATTAAAATCCAATCATTTCTGACTGAGTTATAGAGCAAAACTAGTGTGAAAAATCGGTCCCCACGTTAGGGATTTTTTTTTTTTGGATTTTCGTGACCTTGCTGTAACCTTGACCCTCCAAAAACTATATACTTCTAAGTTGGGTCATAATCCAAATGTATACCAACTTTCGTCCAAATCCATTGAGCAGTTTTCGAGAAATCTTGTTGTCAAAATCACACACATAGAGGGGTGAAAACATAGCCTCCGTCACCTTCGGCGGCGGAGGTAAAAATATATTTCTTTAAACAGTTACTAGGATGTACAGGCAATGCCATTTTAGAGCCTATGTACCCTCTATTGTTTTTTGTTTTGTTTTTTTACTTGTGGAACCAACATATATTTTTGGCCTTCTCTTTTACTGTCAATAAATGAAAATAGAAAGACTTCTAAACTAACCTCCCTGTAGCACTGTTTTGTTTAAGCTCGGTTCTTATGGGTCGTGTCGCGAGAACCGATTGGGGAGTGGAATTAATTAATCGTCTGGCAGTAATTAAGCTATTTCTTAGCACCATTCTAGATTTGAACTGAGAATCCCACCAAGCAACTGAAAGTACAGTTTCGATCTTTATCAGGCACACACACACACACGTACACACAAAATCACAGAGGTTAAAGTACTTGAAATTCT